CCGTACGCACGTACGGACTATAAGATATGTTTCTGTGCATGCGTGCGTGCGTGCGTGCGTGCGTGCGTGCGTGCGTGCGTGCGTGCGTGCGTGCGTGTTCATGTTATGATTGTCACACATCGTAGCATCGAGCAGTTAGCGAGGAACCAACAAATTACGTTACTACCGCGTGACTGCTAACTGCACAGGGTTACTGATTGATAATTGCCTGCATGGGGGGGCGTACTGGCATCCATGATGAGCAGAGAGGACGAGACGCGCAAGACGATGAGTCACGGGTCAGCAGGTCAATAATGACGTCAGCATCTCCTCACGTTATCATGAGTGACATGAGTTCATAATAGAGTCCATAGATATTATGGATTTCATATAGAGTCTATAGATAATATGGATTTCATATAGAGTCCATAGATAATATAGATTTCATATAGAGTTCATAGATAATATGGATTTTATATAGAGTCCATAGATAATATGGATTTCATATAGAGTCCACATATAATATGAATTTCATATAGAGTCCATATATAACATGGATTTCATATAGAGTCCATATATAATATGGATTTCATATAGAGTCCATATATGTAATATGGATTTCATATAGAGTCCATATATAATATGGATTTCATATAGAGTCCATATATATAATATGAATTTCATATAGAGTCCATATATAATATGGATTTCATATAGAGTCCATAGATAATAATAGTCCATCTATTATGAACTTTTGATATGAATCTAGCCGAGCAAGCCCTGAGCGGGAGACAGACAGACAGGCAGCTTCCGCGGTGATTTATCCATCCCCCTCCCACCCACGAAACCCCGATTCCTATTGCTCCCAATTTGTCGGCCTTGTCTGTAATGCATCATCGCCCTTTCGCGCACATAGGTGGCGCTAACGACGTTTCCCGCTGTTTGCAGTGAAGCAGTGATGCGCGTCGGCTCCAATATTTGCAGCCGACGTCCCACGTCGCACGACGCCAGCCGACAATTCCGTCACGTGATTAACGCGCTTCGAATCGCCGTTCTGCTGTTTTACGTAATTGGATCGGTTGTTTCCTTATTTTTGCTCGATCAACACGAGCTTTTTGATGAACCGCTTCCAAAGGCTCAGAGAGATTGCATGGTTGTCTCTCTGCGCACCTATACCAGCCTGCTTAAATACTGACTATAGCACTGGTACTCCTCACTTTATATATAAATATATATATATATAATATATATATATAAATATATTATATATATATATATATATATAATATATATATAATAATAATATTCTAGCCGGGAAATTAACGTAGTGTAGCAGGCAGCAGCCAATCTTCCACCCCGGCTCACTAACTGACCGGCCCCACCCTGTACCCCACACCACCCCCACCAGCCGTATTAAAAAAAGTGACGCACTGCCGTTTGAATTGTTGATGCCATTTAAAGCCTAGGCGCACACACCCGAGGCAAAACACACTGCAACGATGGAGCAAAACTGTTTCGCTCGATGTTCGTGGCTGTGTCGGCGATTCCCGAAAACAGAAAACATGCCAGTAAGGCGTGTTTCGCCTGAACAAGCAATGTTTGATAACCGCGAAGGGCGTGTTTTTCGGCCTGAGCGTAGACGTTATGCTCGGGTGTGTGGTCAAAGCGTTCTGACTACACCAGCGAAACGCCACAGGACGGTCTCCAATGCAATATCGCTTAAAAATATCACTATGACACAACCCACATTGGATGTCCATGTGGATGGCTATTTTTGAGTGTCATGTGAGCAGCGGCGCGGCTGTAACGTCCAGATGTATTTTACCTGTAATGTTTTTGCACAAGATACGGGCTGTGTCGCGCTGTGTCGGGTGCCGTGTGTGCGCTTATTCCGCCGAACGCAGAACGGCGAAACCCGACTCGCACGCTGGAGAACAAAATTTCCAGTTTTGCTCGGGTTAAAATGGGGTTACATGGCTAATGCGTTCCCTTGGTTTAAAGGGTTTAATGGGCTCTCGATAATACAATAAATATATATATTGAAATATAATAATTATGGCTATACTATTTACTGCTGGTCAGTGGATGGTGTAGTGCTGGTGTGTGTGTTGTTGTGTGTGTGTGTGTGTGTGTGTGCTGGTGTGTGTGCGTGTGTTGAGAGAGAGAGAGCGCACGAGGAGAGAAGAGAGGAGAGGAGCAGAGAGTGATGTCGTGTGGCGCTGGGTGTCGTGCGTGTGTGTGTGTGTGTGTGTGGCGTGTGCGTTGTGGCGTGTGCGGTGCGTGTGCGAGTGACGCTGTGCGTGGGCGGGTGCGTGTGTGTGGAAGCCGCGTCGCGGCGGGTCGCGTATGCGCTGGCGTCCTGCGTCTGCGCTGCGTCTGCGACGTGTCGTGTACGTGTGCGTGTGCGTGTGCGTCGTGCCGTAGTGTGTGTGTGTGTGGGTGTGTGCGTGTGTGTCTGTGTGTGTGTGTGTGTGTGGTAATATATACACAAAAATTTAGAAAATTAGAATAGGGTGTTACATTTTTATCAGCAAGCTTTCGAGAATGATCTCTCTTCATCAGGTTATAAAATGACAACAGAACTTATCATTCTCGAAAGCTTGCTGATTAAAATTCAACACCCTATTCTATTTTTCTACATTTAATTTCATATCTACATGGCTGTTCCTGTGTTTTTAGTTATATATAATAGAGAGAGAGAGAGAGAGAGAGAGAGAGAGAGAGAGAGAGAGAGAGAGAGACAGAGAGAGAGAGAGAGCAATGTTTATAATAAATGCAGAAAGCAACGTTTTACATTTAAACAATTTAAACTACCAGCACTCCACTGTCGGACGCTACCACTTCTTGTCTTATTGGTACTAACCAGCACCGCCCACCACCCCTCCCAAAATTTTTCCTATGCCCACCACCTACCAGCCAACCCCCATCTCCTCAGACCAGCCTCACCCTTCAACACTCACCCACCACCACCTTACACTAACCACCAACCAACTAACCACCATCCACAAACAATCACCCACAACTAACCACCACAACTAACCAACCACAACCAACCACACACAATCAACCACCCTCAACCAACCATCCACAACCCACCAGCAGCCCACCACCACCCACTACTATCCACCATCCATCGCAATACACCAACCACCCATTAAACACCCTCCCACCACCCACCTACCACCAACCACTCATCAACCACCCAACCACCACCCTCCCACTACTAACCACTCATCAACCACCCAACCACCACCCTCCCACTACTAACCACTCATCAACCACCCTCCCACCACCCTCCATCCACCTATTCCCAGCTTACCTGCTTTGCGGGTGTATGGGAAGAGGAGCGGTCCATGACGACGATGTTGATGACTCGACCATCGTACGTGTGCGCGTCGAAGCATGCGTTCCAGCCCGGAAATATCGTTCTTTTCTTCTGCACCAGCTGTGGACCGTGACCTGCCAAAGTCAAAGGTCAAAAACAGGGTTAAGTAAGCTGTGGCCAGTAGACCTGACAAGGTAGAAGGTCAAACACAGGGTTAAGCTGTGAACAGTAGACCTGACAAGGTGCCGGAGGGTCCAACATCGAGCGGTTAGCTGTGAACAGTAGACCTGCCAAGGTGGATGGTCAAACACCACGGTTAAACTGTCAACAGTACCTGACAAAGTGGAAGGGTCAACACAGGGTTAAGCTGTGAACAGTAGACCTGGACAAAGTCAAAGGTCAAACACAGGGTTAAGTAAGCTGTGAACAGTAGACCTGACAAGGTAGAAGGTTAAACAGCGAGTTAATATTCTGTGTACGGTGACTGCCGAGGTGAAAGGTCAACACGGGGTTACGTAAGCTGTGTACGGTGACCTGCCGAGGTGAAGGTCAAACACGGGGTTACGTAAGCTGATGTAACGCGTGACCTTGCCCGAGCAGTGAAGTCAAACACGCGGGTTAGTAGCTGCGTACGTGACGTACAAGCGCGGTCAAGGGTTAACGCAGGGCACATTAGCTGCAGACCCATGACCTGAAGATGTCAGCAATTGTCAATGCGTGTGTAGTGGTATGACATCAATCAGTAGTTGGTGGGTAATGAGAATGAGTGTGCAAGAACGAGCGAAAGAAAGACAAAGAGAGAGAGAGAGAGAGAGAGAGAGAGAGAGAGAGAGAGAGAGAAAGAGAGCGAGCCGTAATTTGAGAGGGAGAGCAAGATAGAAACGGGAAACTCCGAGAGAGAAAGCGAAAGCGCTACATAGCTAGAGAGAGTGAGAGTAAGAGTGAGAAAGAAACAGAGACAGACCAAGAGAGTGCGAGCAAGAGCGTGAGACAAGAAAGGGAGAGAGGGAGACAGAGAATGCAAGAGACAGGAGACGTGGCTAATGGGATAGCGGCGCGAGGAGAGTGGAGAGCGGCTAGGCGAGAGGGTGGAGGAGGGAAAGCGAGATAAAGAGATTGAGAGAAAGTGAGAGAGAGCAGGAATAGAATGAGAAAAAAACGTGTGAGAGAGAAAGATAGAGATAGAGAGAGACAGACGCAGAGAGCGCGACGCACGAGGAGTAGCGAGCATACACACAGGTAGATAGGCGGATGTGAGTAGGATGGCGAGAAGAGAGAGAGAGAACGAGGAACAGAGAGACGAGGAGAGAGAAAGAGCGAGAGAGAAGGAGAGAGGAGAGGTATGTACTTAGTAATATTATACTTATATATATATAGAGAGAGAGCTGACGACTGAGAGAGAGGACGAGAGAGAGAGAGAGAGAAGAGAGTGAGAGAGGAAGAGAGAGAAAAGGGAGAGGGAATCGTGAGAGAGAGAGGAGAGATGAGAGGAAGGAGAGGAAAGAGAGAGAGAGGGACGAGAGAGAGGAATAGAGGAAGAGAGAGAGGGAGAAGAGAGGAAAGAAAGAAGAGGAAGAGAGAGGGGGAGGAGAGAGAGAGAAGAGGAAGAGAGAGAGAGAGATGCATGGCACGCGCAGGCAGATAAAAAAAGCAGAGTGTGAGTGGTTGGTAGATAGAGCAGATACTACCACGCAGTGATCAGCCTAGGTCGATACGTTCCGTCGGTGTAATTGCTACAATCCACGTTCGGTAATCAACAGCAGTGCTATAACAGATAATTCGTCGCTTCATGCGAGCAGCGCAGCAGCAAGCAGCGCAGAAGCGCGCAGCGAAGCAGCAGCAAGTTAGTAGAAGCAGCCGCAGCATGAAGGCAGCCGCAGCCGGCAGCGCAGAAGCAGCAGCAGCGGCAGCCAGCAGCAAGCAGCAGCAGCAGAGCAGAGTCACGCGCCAGCCAGCAGCGCAGCAGCAGAAGCAGCAGCAGCAGAACGCAGCAGCAGCAGAAGCGCAGCAGCGCAGAAGCGAGCAGCCAGCAGAAGCACGCGCAGCAGAAGCAGCAGACAGCGGCGAGAGCAAGCGAGCGAGCAGCGACCAGCAGCGAGCAGCAGCAGCAGCAGCAGCAGCATCCTCTCCGGCACTCATTATCTAGGCGGGTGAGTTGAGCAGCATATCGCGGCAGCGGCGCCCCGGATACCTTCACGTATGTGTGTGTGTGTGTGTGTGCTATGTGTGTCTGTGTGTGTGTGTGTGTGTGTGTGCGTGGGCCACGAACGTGTGCGTGCTGGTGCCTGCGTGTGCCGTGTGCGTGTGCGTGTGGTGTGTGTTAGGTGTGCGTGTGTGTGCGGTGTGCGTGTGCTGTGCGTCAGTGGGTGTGCGGTGTAACCGGGTGCGCTGCAGGCGCTGTCTGTGAGTGGTGGTGCATGGTGTCGTGTGTGTGTGTGTGTGTGTGTGTGTGTGTGATGGGTCGTAGTGCTGTGTGTGTGTCGATGTGTGTGTGTACTGGTGTGTGTGGATGTCGTGTGTGACAACGTTGCATGCATCGAGTGATACCACATCTATATATTCGAGATCGCGCGCCTGCAGGGAGCATCACGGCGCGCAATTGTCCACGGCGGATCGCCAACCTCTACGCGCGACGCGTGCGTAACTTGTTTATATATTTGCGGTGACGCGACGCGGCTCGACTAATAATGCACAGGTCGCTGCTATGATCATGTCACTGCCCCACGCCACGCACGTGTATTCTGTTTGCAAGGTTTCCATGCAAATTACCTCATTTACTGCTACATGTATCTGCCACATCCATCCATACACCAATCCTCCATCCACCCTCAATTCATCCATCCATCCACTTCTTTCATTCATCGCAGCCAATCAATCCTCATCATTCATCCTCCATCATGCGTTCCGTCCATCCGTCCATCATCATCCACCCATCTATCCGATCCATATCATCCGCTCCATCCCACTCATCCATCCACACACATCCATCCAGGCCATCCATCCATCACCCATCTACCATTCATCCATTATCCATACATCTGTACCATCCATGCCATCCTCCATCCATCCATCCATCCATTACACATCCATTCAGTCCACCCACCATCCACGTCAATCCATCCATCCCATTCATCCTCACCATCATCCATCGCATCATCCAGCCATCCATCCATCCATCCATCTCCACACGATCCGATCCATCCTCCATCATCCCTCCATCCACCATCCATCCATCATCCTCATCCATCCATCCATCCATCCATCATCCATCCATCCATCCTTCATCCATCATCATCCCATCCAATCCAGTTCCATCCAACCATCCATCGCATCCCATTCCTCCATCCACCATCCCACTCCATCCATCCATCCATCCATCCATCCAATCCATCCATCCATCACCGATCCATCCATCGATCCATCATCCATCCATCATCATCCATCCATACCATCCATCCATTTATCATCGATTCAATCATCCCTCCATCTATCCATCCATCACCTTCATCCATCCATCCATCCATCCATCCATGCAATCATCCATCACTCTATCCATCCTCTCCAGCCATCCATTCTCCATCACCCATCGTCATCCTCCATCATCCATCATCCATACCATCTCCATCCATCATCATCAATCCATCATCCATCATCCATTCATTCATTCGCCATTCATCCATCCCCATCCATCCATCAGCCATCCATACCATGCATCCATGCACTCCATGCCCCATGCATCACAATCCATCCATCCAATCCATCCATCCATCATCCATCATCCATCCATCATCCATCCACTCATTCTTCATTCGCCCATCCATCCATCAACTCCATCCATCCATCCATCCATCCATCCATCCATCCATCCTTCCATCCATCCATCCATCCATTCATCCATTCATTCATTCATTCACCCATCATGTGACCCTGACCCTACTCAATACACAATGGATCTGGCCGGTCAAGTTGATTAATAACCGCACGCTGCGGGCGCCAGCTCTACGCAACGTTTACAGTTGCACTAACTCATGATCATGCGACACACGACAGACAGCAGGCTCACGCGACATTGTCACGCCGGCTGGACACGCACTTATTTCCGCGGGTGACCGGGTGTGATTGGCAAGCGTGCGACTACCGAAATTCGATTGAATCTCGAAATCAAATTATTTTGCTTGAGATTTCGCCAACGTTTTACGAGTGCGGGTCGCGCGGGGCAACGGAATATTTATTTATTCTGGCCAGCAGGGGGGAAAAGACTTCATTCGTAGTTGAATGACAACGACGCATATTTACTGCTGCTAAATTCACGTTTCAAACGAGAGCCGCTGTTAGTACGTAAAATGTTTCTTGCTTTGCGGTTACATTGGCAGCTAATTAAGATTAACGCTGGCTGGAGGCAGAGCGTACACACGCACGCAGGCGCGCACACACACACGCAGGCGCGCACACACACACGCAGACACGCACGCAGGCGCGCGCACACACACACGCAGGCGCGCACACATACGCAGGCGCGCACACACACGCAGGCGCGCCCACACGCACGCAGGCGCGCACACACGCACGCAAGCGCGCAGACATGCACGCACACATACGCACGTAAGCGCGCACGCGTGCCGGCAAACATGCACGTACGCACACACAAACGCACCCACATATACACACGCGCGTGTTCACGTACGCACGCACGCATGCACGCACGCATGCACGCACGCACGCATGCACGCACGCACGCACGCACGCACGCATAGATTCACGCACGCACGCACGCACACGCACGCACACGCACGCACACGCGCGCGCCTACATATACGCAAGCAGGCACACGCACACGCGCGAATAGATGCACGCACGCATGCACGCACGCACGCACGCAGGCACGCACGCACGCTCTCTGCTAGAGGAGAAGAAGTCACACTAAGGCCTGTCAGCGTGAGCAAGAGTGACAGGTCTGGCAGTGCCGCCGAGCACGCACAATGCAGCGAGATCTGCATCACGAAAACTGCATGAAATACATGAGATCGTTTTTCAGTGTATGCATGCGCTTGAATTTGTTATTTCTCATTAGAAATGCTTAGAACTCTTTGCATTTCTCTCTTGCACGGTTATGGAGTCGTGTAGAGGAGCATCA